CTGTTGTGCGCTTGGGAAGCGGTACGCCTGCTTATACATAGTTGCCATTTTAGTGCTACCCTTTCAATATACAGCATCTCAACTGCAACGGGAGTTTTTTAGATGCATTTTGGCAGCGAAAGTACATCTACAAAGAGGCATGAGAATAATCATTTGGCCCTGTCGCCCGAGGCCCGTCGTATCTGGGCTGTCCACGAAGGCGGAAGCATTCTTCATGATTTGTTTCCGCTGCACAAAAGTTTTGTGGCGGTATGCATGTACTGTGCTGCTTCAAATGCGGCAAGTTGCCCAGTTGTTTGTTGCCTTGCGCCGGATGGCAGATCCTGCTCAATCTCCATTATTATGGGAGGGGAAATTGTTGAACTATCGGCGAGCGTTTTAGGGATATCTCGAGATGTTTTCTCTCTGCCGCCAAGCTCTTTTGGTGCTGATCAGTTCTATTTACAGACCATAGAACTAATCAGGGCCATGTAGTTTTTTATTGACTGCCTACAGTGTTAGTGTCACCAGCAGAAGTGAGCTATCGCAGTCCCTAACGCTGTATGGCTTTGTTAAACACTTACGTGGTCCCCATTTGCCTAGTTTTACCCGATTAGACGTTGATGAACGAACCAGAAGGAGCATTCTGCGCTCGCTACAGTATACATATGCGATATATATATGCGATAGTGCGGGGAGCGAAGCCTTCCTCGAAAAAAAATACGATAACAACATCCCAAGTAAATATTAAGTAGCATGCTACAAACAGTTCTCTCTTGGAATAGTTATAGTGCCATATCTNTACGCCACCGCGAAGAGACAACCGCGCTAGAAAGTGCAGAAGCTGCAGTCGCAGTAGAGCCTATGGACAGCAAAGAAAAAAGCAATATTTTGCGTGCCGGAGTTGGGTAGCTAGTAGATGAGAGCTTATGAAACTTCATTTGCTCTGCTGTACCTGACCGTATGCGGGCCGTGCGGTGAGCGTCGGCGCGCTGGAGGGCGATCCTCTCCCTGCCCCTGTGATTGCCACTATTGCTGTAAGATTACTCCCAGGCGGGAATGTAAGTTTTCGACATGGTTGTAAAGAAGTGTGGGAACGCTTGAATTCGCATCCGCGGAGGCAGTGCCTGGAAGCGTGCGCCGGATAGTCTCGGCCCTCATTGAAAGTGTCTCTGTACGTGGCCTTCGCAAGCGAGTGTCACGGACCATAACCTGCCACGAGAGAACCTTTGTAGGTAAGCAGCCGTAAGATTTAGCAAGGGCAAGCTCATTGAATTTCAACACCCCGCGATACTGGAACGGGCGAGAGTGTCTGCTCTCTGGCCTTCAATANTGCATTTCAGACGTTCAGGGTGCGGAGTTACCGTGTAGGCAACGCAACGCGTTTTCGAGGACCGCACATCGAGAAAATGGGAGCAGGAGCGACTGAATCCGGATCCCCCAATGAAAAAAAAATTCGAACCGATCCACCCGTAGAGATCGAAAATGTTCTTCAAAAGGATTCACACACTCGACGATTTCGCGGCCAGAATGCCACTTGGCGAACTGCCGTGTGGGTGGCTTTTTCTGCTGCTGTGATTTTCCTTATTATGAAATGTGCAGTGGAGCTATCCATTCACAAGAGCTCATCTGTAAGGTTGTTGGCGGAAGCCGGCGATGGGGAACCCCTGATCGTGCATGTAAGCCCAGCTTAAACATGCCGCAGAGTAGATGCAGCACTGCTCCTTTGATATGTGGGACAAGACGTGTTCATTCTGTTCACTATCTTTTCCGCATTATTTCCAGGACTCAGAAGGGGATGAAGCGGTTTGCGTCGAAGGTAGCAGAATGGGAAGAAGTGGTCCGCGAAAGGGGAGGAGTGCANAGGGGATGAAGCGGTTTGCGTCGAAGGTAGCAGAATGGGAAGAAGTGGTCCGCGAAAGGGGAGGAGTGCAGTCTGGAGAAAGTTGTGGCGGTCAATATCTCCTGCGACCGGATACGAACAATTTACAGATCAAGTTGAACTAGAAAGTGTGCCTCCTCCAAGCCCTTCTACGTCTGCTGATATTGCAGATGTTGCAGAAAGCAATGCAGATCAGGCCAGCCGTGAAGATCCTCCAGGGCAGCGAGTTGACCATCAGACGCGTGTGCCAATTGGAGTCGCGAGTTCTCCGCACTATAAGAACCCGAACAAGTACTACGATTTTCCACGTCTTGGAGACGTACGTATGGGATACGGCCTAGTATCTAGCTTCCAGAGCATGCTGCATTTCGAAGCGCAATCGTGCACGAATAACGTGGGGCACTCAATTTAAAACTGAGGCTTGTTGATAGAAGGACAAGTGTTGTCATCCCACAAACAGCTGCATATGTTTGCCTGCTCTTCGTACTGCAGGCTGAGAAGCCGTTGCGAGGGTTACTTAAAGATGTGCAAGACACTGCATGGAGCTTCTGCCTCCCCCACCAATTCCCAATAACCAGTAAAGCAGCCGCCGCATTAAAAATCCAATACGATTTTAGAAATACGGTAGCACAACAGATCATGCATCCAGTTGACACAAATTCGTGGTCTGTAAAAGCATGTGCTCCATCGGTGAATGTTTTCTATCTAAATTTATGCCATTTCATAACTCTGTCGTCAGTGGCTTGAACATCTTGCAGGGGGACACCAAGCCGAGTATCCTCTGAAGACAGGCCACGGTAGCATAACAATACATATAG